CTATAAACTTTGTTTTGCTGTGCTAGCCTATCATACTCTATCCTAGATGCAAAAGGAAAAAATATTTTGATGGGAATAAGAACTTCAGTTTTGAATAAAAGAAGATAGAGTTTCAATTATAGAAAGAGATCAGATTATCTTAATGCCTTGTCAAAGTTTATAAATGTTGCTTGAAAACATAGCTTAAAAATTCAGGTTTTGATTTTTCCATTCTATCCCTAACTACAAAGCAAATATTTTTTATTGTCAAAAAAAGCTAGTAAGGAGAAAAGCCAAATAAACAGAAAAAACAAAGATCTTTATCATTATAGTGGAACAAAATATTTCTTTTTATGCTTCTCTTTACCAAAACAAAATGTTATCGGCAAGCTGAACATCTTTTGAACCAATATGTGAAACTTAGTAATTGATCTGAATGAAGTTTTGAATGTCAAGTCATACTTACGCCACTTTGTACTGAAAATAAAACATTACACTTAAAATATTCCTATTCAGCCAGGAAACACTGCAGAATAACATTGAAATTCACTATTCATTTCTATTTTTCACATTGGTGGTATCTGCTGGTCTTTTAATGAGACAAGAGATAATGCATTTATTCTTTCCAGGGTTCACCTTGAAATGGGGTCTAAATCCTGATGTATTAAAGATCTTCACTATCTTGCAATTAAATAACACAATCATAAGGTAGAAATTCAAGAAGAGATGTTCAGATGAAATGGCCACAAAACAAACAAAAAACCACCATGTGAGGGGCCTGGCTTTGAATCTTTTGCATAGTGTACACATGGAAACTAGGAACCTACAAACAGGGGGTGGGGGACTCAATTTGGGAATGGATAGTAGAATGTATGTGAAATGAAAGTAGAGAGGGAACTACTGGGGCCAGAGGAGCTCAGCAGGTAGTGGAGGATGGGGATGGGAAACAGGCCAGGGGATGGTTTAAGCAGAATGAAGTGTGCATGAAGAGGCTACTGGGGAGCCTATGATCTTGCAATCCAAGTAAAAAATGTAATAAGAAGCGAAAGTAGAACATGTGTGGTGTGGACGAGCAGGGGGAATACTGGGAGCAAAGGTTTAATCTGGAACTGGGATGGGAGGAGGTGGGGGAAAGGAAAGATAGGGGGTGGGTTAACCAGAACCAAGGATGCATGAAGAAGCCTTATGAAACCCCACTAATTTGTAAGCCAATTAAAAAATATAATTTTGGAGTCAGCATGATGGTATATGCCTTTAATCCCAGCACTTGGGAGGCAGGGGCAGAGGCAGAGGCAGGCAGATCTCTGAGAGATCTGGGCCAAGTGGTCTACATAGTGAGTTCTAGGCCAGCTGGGGCTACAGGGAGACCCTGTCTCAAAACAATAAATAACCCCCTCCCCCAAATATCTACATTTTTTTAAAAAAGGAATTTGAACGGAAGTACACCATTAACTAGTGAAAAATGCTGCTCCTAGAAGACATGGGTTATTAAATGGAAATCTCAGTACCAGGTACAGGCTACCTCCCTAAGGTCAGAGAACCCCCAGGCAATGCAAGTTATTGCCATTGCTCTTGGTTAATCATCATAATTAGATGGTAAGACCCTACTGTTGAAGACACCACAATACTTTGGTGGCAGGACACAGAGAAATCAGTCTTGAAACTGACCAGAGAACTTTACCAGCTGACTAGCTTTCGTGTGCTGGAAGGTGCTATGCAGGATGCTGGGGGAATAAAGACATCAAGGGTCTTATCTAGCACTGGACTCTGCATGTTAACTATATTAACCTGCCAATCAAGGTGTGTCCACTGGTGCAATAGTGGTAAGACTATTATGGGGGTAACCAGCTGCTTTCTTGATTGAATCTTAGGGCTGCTCCACAGGAGGGAATTTATGCCTAGCACTGTAAACATGGTCAAAACCCATGGCTAGGGAAGTCATACATCCTAGGGGAGAACCTATTGATGGTGTTTTTCTAAATGGTCATGTTGAGAAACTGCCTTCTAAATATTTGTTTATAACCATAGATTTGTGTTCCTCCCAATCTTGGCCAAAGAAACTTCTTATTGCAATGGGTAGTTGTTAATGCAAAGATGCATTACTGTTTGAAGTGCTCAGTCATAGATGAAACAACTATACTGACTCCACCCCAAGGCTCAGAGAAGATCTTGGAAGAAGGGGAGGAAAGAATGTAAGAATCAGAGGATGGGGTGGAGTGCTATAAAATGTCCTCTGGCATGACATAGCTGCTGCACACATGAACTCACATCACCTGTGGTTACTACACAAGATCTGCACAAGGTCAAGCCAGTAAAAATTCTAGCATGGAGGGGACAGAGACTCATGAGCCGCCCCCCCCTCCCCTTGCTGAAGAGCCATTGGCAGTTGATGGCTGTTAGGGGATGAAGAGTCATTTTATTTAGGAGTGTGGGCACAGTGGTTGGCTTCATATCTGTGAGCATGGGGCAGCACTAATTGGATTCAGTGAGTAAATAAATAAATATAAAAGGAAGACAAGAAGCTGGGAAGGAGATGTGATGGGGAGTCCTGGAGAGGGCAAAAGAGGGGCAGATGTGATCAAGATATATTGCATACATGTATGAAGTTTTCAAAGAATAAAAAACATTCTTTCAAATTAACAAACTACTCCCCAATCTAAAAAAGGGTGTGGGGGGGGAAGCCTAGAGAGATAGCTCAGTCCATAAAGTGCTTTACTCGTAAGCACGAGGAACTAAGTTCCATCAATAGAACTCACGTAAAAAGTCAGGCATGGTGGTGTACGATTGTAATTCCAGTACTGGGGAGGTAGAGGCAGGTGGATCCCTAGAGCACATCAGCAGCAAGGTAAGCCTAATTAGGTCTCACTTAAAGATCCTGTCTTAAAAATCAAGGCAGATGGCTCCTGAGGAATGACACCTGAGGTTGACCTCTGGCTTCCACATAAACATATGTGCATGCAAATCGTAACTCACATGTACACCTGCACACACACATACACATATGGACACCCAAAAAGTTAAAAAAAAAAAAAGTTAAAATAAAAACTGAAAATAGGCTTTTAATGTTTTAACCATAGTTTGGTATGTTCTGAATTTACTCTTCTTTAGAATAATGTTCATAAATTCTTCTTTAGAATAATGTTCATAAATTATAATACCAGATTTGTAAAGTAACATCATTGTCATATTCCATGTCATTCAGAACATGTGACACTTTGAAATTAGGTCAATACTTACATTTCAACTTGTGTTTTACTGTCAGTGTAAATCCGTACTATGCTGGACAGCTTTAGTTGTCAACTTGACACACCTGGGTAGAGGGAGCCTCAACTGGGGAATTTCCTTCATTGGACTGGCCTGTGGCCATGTCTATGGGGTATTTTCTTGATTTTTGAGTGATATGGGAGGGCCCAGCCCACTGTGGGGGTTGGGGGGTGCCACCCCTGGGCAGGTGGTCCTGTATTGTATAAGAAAGAGGTTGAACATGAGCCAGGGAGCAAGCCAGCAAGCAACATTCTTCCATGTTCCTGCCCTGAGTTCCTACCTTGGGCTCCCACAGTTCTCAGTGATGAACTGTGGGAATTGGTCAGAATGTTTTGTCACAGCAATTGAAAGCAAACTAGAACACCTACATTGCTAGAGAGGCAACATGGAGACTGTTTCCAAAGACAGCTGGATCTGTGGAATTCCATCCTGACCATTACAGTCATCTCCTTTATTTGCCAGAGATAGGTTCCTAAGACTCCCATTAGACTCCTGAAGCTGAGGACAGTATCAAATTCTATATATTGTTTTCCTGCATATAGCTATGTGTCCTGTAATGAGGAAAGTACATATTGCACCAGTAAGCAATTTTGTTGTGCAATTGTCAGAGAGAGTATATCCACAGACCTGGATGGTACAGGTCAGCTACCTAATGTGGCCTCTGGAGGCACTCAAGAAGCATGATACTTATGTTGATGTAGCATGGCCACTTTAACTTATAGTCAATTTATTTTTGGTTAAAAGTGGAAGGAATACATTTTAAAATTGCCACAAGTCATATAGTAAGCATAGAAATCAGTAGCATAGTCATTTATTATCAAGTATCATGTACATACTTGCATGTGCTATCCTTTCATGTAACTGGCAGTGGAGTATATTTATTTATGGCAGCATTGCCACAGACACATAAGCAATGTTGTGATATAACATTAGCACAGTCACAAGAGCACTAGGTGATGGGAGTTTTCAGCTCTGTTAATAGTTTCAGGTAGCCACTCTCATACACACAGACTGACTGGACCACTATTAGGTAGTGTTTGACTATATATAGATACATATATGTTTATGATAAAGTCTAATGTACAAATTTGGCATGGTAAGATAGTAGTGACACAAATGAATAATTATGACACTATGAGTTATGAATTATTAGTAAATTGTTCCATTTAATATTTTTGGACTTCTTCTATGAGTAGGTGAAACTGTAGAGAGTGGTGCTGCAGATAAGGTGGGAGTGCTACACTGGATGGGCAACTGTGGGTAGGTTACTTAAGCATTCTAAGTTCTAGCAAAATGCAGATAATAGCCATCTTTATTAACTATAATAGCACTGTGCAGGTTAAGTCTGCAGGCAAATGAACCATCACCCAGAGGTGGGTACTAATGGAAACAGTTTGTGAAGAACTCAGTAAGGTGTCAAGCACACATAGGCACTTGGTAGACTTTTGCAGGCAGCAGCCTTCCTTGCAGTTGAAGTTAAAGCTCAGCATCAGGGATACACAGTGATATGAACACACTGTCTAGGCAAAGACTGTTCACTGGTTTCTACCTGACTTGACACACTTTAGCAAGTGAGAGCAGCCTAAGATCTTGGGAGACTCTATTGCATCATCTTTATATGCACTCTTTTTTGTTTTAGCTTTTTGTCCAACTCCTCACTAAAAGATTTAGAACACAGAGATAAGGATACTGTTATCCTAACTTGTAATTAGCATTTTAATCTTGAAATAATGTAGTCAATTTATTTGACTTCTTACCTTTTCAATTTTTTCATCCAGCATTCTGAAGAATTCTTGTTGGCTTTCAGAGATGTGCATGCTGGAAAACAAAGAATTGTTAAGTGCATATTCCAATGCTTTCTTGAACCTAACCCCCTCAAGTGAAAACTCTGGGGGCAACAGTTGTTTATTACAGACTTTTCCACTGAAATACTCCAAAGTTACATTTAGAATAATTGACCGGCTCTTTTAGGACCACCGTGGACCTCCAGATCCAGGAGTTCCTAGACCTGCCTTCGTAAGTCTCCTTTCCCCTATCTATCCATACCAAGAAACACCACCAATGACACTGGTCTAGATGCCTAGGTCTCTCATTAAAAAAAACCCCACAAAGAACATGAATAACCAAGACAATACGTCTGTTACAGAAATTAGCACTTGCATTGTAATGTTTCCTGAGAATGGCAACCTAGCGAATGCACAAGACAATGATTTCAGAATAGCAATTATAAATGTTCCAGGAACTCAGAGAGGATATGAATAAAAGACTGATTGAAGACCATAAATACACAGTTGAATGAAATAATTAAAACAATTCAAAACATAAAATTAGAGTTCAATAGAGATAGAATCACTGAAGAAAAGTCAAACTGAAATCAAACTTGAAATAAAAAACTCAGAGACTCAAACAAAAAACCTAGAGGAAAGCAACACAAAGGAAGTGGCGGAAACGGAACAGATCTTGAAGACAAGCTTGGAGAAATGGATCGTTCAATCAGAGAAAATGTCAAATATAAAAAAAGCCAGGAAAGGAACATGCAAGACCTCTGGGACACTGTGAAAAGACCAAACCTATGAATCATAGGCATAAAAAAGAAGAAATGCAGGTCAAAGCACAGAAAATAGTTTTAATAAAATCATAGAAGGAATTTCCCAAATCTAGGGGAAAAGATATCTACCAACGTACAAGAGGCATACAGAACACCAAATAGACAGGACCTAAAAAACAAACTGTCAGCTTCATGTAAGACTTGAAACTCCATGTGTACAGAACAAAGAAAAGATATTGAAAGCTATGAGAGAAAGGGAACAAGCTATATGTAAGGGCAGGCCCATTAGAATGACAGCTGACTTTTCAATAGAGACTATGAAAGCCAAAGGGCTTCAACCAATGCCATACAAGCTATGTAAGAGCACAGATTTCAGCCCTGACTACTATAACCAGCAAAACTATCAGTTGTAATTGAAGGAGAAAGAAAACCTTTCCATGATAAAAACAGATTCAAGGAATTTACATCTACATAACCAGCTTTACAGGGAATACCTGATGGAATACTTTAGTTTGAAGAGAAGATTAAACACTCTCAAGAGGGCATAAAGAATAAACAAATTATCCCAGAACAGTGAACCAAAAGAAGTCTAAGAAAAGGTGTAGCTATTCTAATATCCAACAGAATAGACTTCAAAGTAAAACTAGTCAGAAGAGACAGGGAAAGGTCATTGCATACTCATTAAAGGAAAAAATCCACTAGGAAGATACTATAATATCTTCTAAACATATATGCACCACACAGGGGCACCCAATTTCCTAACATTATTAGATCTAAAAATCACACATTGACTCCAACACAGTGATAGTGGGTGATTTCAATACCCTATTGTCACCAATAGATAGGTCAATCAGACAAAAACTAAACACAGAAATGACACCATAAATCAAATGGACCTAACAGACCTCTAGAGAACAGTCTATCCAAATCTCAAAGAATGTACTTTCTTCTCAGCAGCCCATGGTACTTTCTCCAAAATTGACCATATATTAGTACATAAAGCAAGTCTCCACAAATTTAGGAACATTGAAATATCATCCTGTATTCTGACCAAAAAGGAATAAAGCTAGATACCAACAACAATAAAAATGGGAAAAAGGGTACAAACTCATGAAAATTAAACAACACACTACTGAATGAAATTTGGATCAAGGGAGAAATCAAGAAGGAAATGTAAAAATCCTAGAATTGAATGAAAATGAAAACACAACATACCAAAACGTTTGACACAATGAAGGCAATCCTAAGAAGAAAATTTATAGTATTAAGTGCCTATAACAGAAAACCACACGTAAACAAATTAATGATTTATCTGAAGGCCTTGGAAAACCAAAAACAAACAACATCTAAAAAGAGTAGACAGAAAGAGATAAATAAAATCAAGACCAAAATTAATGGACTAGAAACAAAGAAAACAAAGAATTGGTGAAATGAAGAGATGGTTCTTTGAAAAGATCAACAAGAGTGGTTTAGCCAGATTAGCCAAAAGAAAGAGAGAGGACCCTAAATTAACAAAGTCAGAGATGTAAAGGGAAACATTACAACAGACCCTGAGGAAATTCAAAAATCCATAAAGACATATTTTAAAACTCTATATTCTACTAAACTAGAAAATCTAAAAGAAATTGATGAATTTGTAGATATTTAAAGCCTATCAAAGTTAATTCAAAATGATTTAAATAATTTAAACAGACTCATAGCAACCAATGACATAGATTCAGTAATTAAAAAAATCTCCCAACTAAGAAGACAACCAGACGGATAAAGCCAGAGCCAAATTCTACCAAACCTTCAATGAACTAAAACCAGTACTCTTCAAATTAATCCATAAAATAGAAAATGAAGGAACCCCCTTCCAATTCTTTCTATGAAGCCAGTACTACTCTAATACTAAAACCAGACAAAGAAAAAAAGAACAACAAAAGAAACAAAAAAAGAAAATTATAGACCAGTCTTTCTGATGAACATAGAAGCAAAAATTCTCAATAAAATACTTGCAAACTGAATGCAAGAATATGTAAAAAGATTATCTACCATGATCAAATTGGCTTCATCACAGGGATGAAGGGACAGTTCAACTTATATAAATCAATAAATGTAATTCGCCACATAAAACATACTTGAGGACAAAAATCACATGACCATCTCACTGGCTGCAGAAAAGGCCTTTGACAAAATCCAACATCCATTCATGATAAAAGTCATGGAGAACCTATGTGTACAGGGGACATATCTCAACATAAAAGGCAATATACCACAAGCCCATAGCTAGTATCATACTGAATAGAGAAAAACTGAAGGCATTCCCGCTGAAATCAGGAACAAGACAAGGACGCCCTCTCTCTCCATTCCTATTCAGTATAATACTTAAAGTCTTAGCTACAGCAATAAAACAAATGAAGGAGCTAAAGAAGAAAGGAAGAAGTCAAAGTATCCTTATTTGCAGATTATAGGATTTTTATACATAAAGACTACACCAGAAAACTCCTAGAGGTGATAAATACATTCATCAAAGTAGCAAGTTATAAAATTAACACCCCCAAATCAGTAGCCTTCCTGTATACCACCAAAAAACATACCGAGAAAGAAATCAGGGAAGCCATCCCATTCATGATAACCTCAAAATTGATAAAGTTATCTTGGAATAAATCTAACCAAAGAAGTGAAGGATTGTATAATAAAAATTTTTAAACACTGAAGAAAGAAATTAAAGAAGATACCAGAAGACAGAAAGACCTTTCATGCTCATAGATTGGTAGGATTCATATTGTGAAAATAGCCATCCTATCAAAAATAATCTACAAATTCATTGCAATACCCATTAAAATTCCAACACAATTCTTCACAGAAATTGAAAAAGTAGTCTCAGATCTCATATGGAAACACACACACACACACACACACACACACACACACACACAAAACCCCAGAATAGTCAAAGTAACCCTGAACAATAAAAGAACTGCTGGAGGCATTACCATCCCTGATCTCAAATTGTATCACAGAGTTATAGTAATAAAAACAGCATGGTACTGGCATAAAAACAAACACATTGACCAGTGGAATAGAACTGAGGACCCAGATTTGAATCCACGCATTTAGAGCCACCTGATTTTTGACAAAGGAGCCACAAACACACTGGACAAAAGACAGCATGTTCAACAAATGGTGCTTTTCACACTGGAGAGCAACATGTAGGAGAATGAAACAAATACCATTTGCAGGTAAATGGATGCACTAAACTCAACTCCAAATGGATCAAGGACCTCAACAAAAGACTAGATGCCCAGAATCAGACAGAGGAAAAAATAGGGAATATACTGGAACTTACAGGTACAGAAAAGGACTTTTGGAACAGGACTCCTAAAGTGCAAGCATTAAGCCCAACAACTGACAAAAAGCTTCTGTACAATGGACACTATCATTTGTGTGAAGAGGTAGCCTACAGAATGGAACAACATCTTTACCAGCTATATGTCTTGTCAGAGGGTTAGTATCTAGAATATCTAAAGAATTTAAAAAACTAAACGCCAAAAACAAAACAAACAACCCCCCCCCAAACAAGAACAACAACAAAACCAACCCAATTAAAAATTGGGGCAAAAAGATGAAGAGAGAGTTCTCTGAAGATGAAATACAAATACTTAAAAACGTTCAATATTTTTAGTCATCATTGCAAACTAAAACCACTTTGAGATTTTTTTCTTACCCAAGTCAGAATGACTAAGATCCAAAAAACAAACAATGACCAAAGCTGATGAGATGTGGAGAAAGGGGAATTCTTATGCTCTGCTGGTGGGAGTGCAGACTGGTGCAGTCACTACGAAAATCAATGTGAAGGTTTTTCAAAAAGCTCGAAATTAATCTACCATGTGGCTCACACATTCCATATAGTCCAAAGTCTCTATATCCTCCTACAGAAATACCTGCTTATTCATGTTCATTGCTACCCTTTTCATAATGCCCAGGAACTGGAAACAATCTAGATGTCCATCAACTGATGAATGAATAATGAAGGTGTAAAACATATACATATGTAGAATATTATTCAGCTCTTAAAAAACAAAATTAGGAAATCTGCAGGTAAATGAACGGAACCGGAAATAATCATCCTGAGTGAGCTAACCCAGGCCCAGCAAGACAAACATCACATGTTCTCTTTCATAGCTGGATGCTAGCTTTGAACGCTTAGATATTCATGTTTCAATTTGAAAATCCAGAGGTCAAGAAACTAAAAAGAGGTAGAATGCGAATGCAATAATATTAAAGG